TGATTTGAATATATTTCAAAGAGCGCTCAACTCTTTGAGGAGCACTGATAATTATAACAAACTGGTTCAAGACTTCAGAGGAAGTTCATCGTTTTATTACGACAGCTCTGTTTCGTATGGTCGAAAATATGACCACACTATTACATTGCATATGAAGACAATGAATTGCGATAACTTTGACACGTTTCACGTTTCGGAAGAACTGTTCGCTTCAATAGCAGAATTATAGTTTAATTGCAGTGAATTGCTAAAGAAGCTCCTAGATGATAGCAATCATCAAATAAACATTTCGCATTAAATTTAGCCGTAGGTGACCAAAGCGTACTATATGAGTTTGTATGGATTTAAAAATCAAACTATCTCTCTTTTTTCCTTTGAAAGCTACAATACAGTGACGCGTACTCTAAAATCGATCAAATGGCTAACAGAAGCGTTTCGGCGACAGAAAGGGGACACCACTTAGAGAAGTTCGAACTTTATCGTAGCTTTTCAAAGGAAAACAGAAATAGTTTTCGTTCGAAATTGAAATCCATACAGGCTCTTATTTCAACCTCTTATAGTACGCTTTGGTTACCGGTGATTACGGCATTTTGGGCCGGAACATGTAGCATTACTATGAGTGTGCAAGATACTAACGAAATAATCGAACTAAATAAAATACTGCGAATGCACTAGATACTAACGAAACAATCCAACTAAAGTGATTACTAAAGTGCACCAGATACTAAAAAAGCAATCCAACTAAGGAGATTACTAGAGCGCACTAGATACTAACGAAATAATACAACTAAGGAGATTACTAAGAGTGCACAAGATACTAACGAAACAATTTAATTATAACTAGGAGATTAATTGTGGGAAATTGTAGCAAATGCTAGGAGATTATTAAGAAAGCACTGGATACTAACGAAAAAATCCAACTAAAGAGATTACCAGATACTAACGAATGAATCCAACATAAGAGATTTCTTAGAATGCATGCAAGTTTTGCAAATTTTGGGTGGATGTTCAACTTGTCGCGCAACAAGAACATTTGTTGCGGGTTGAGAAAAGTTTTTTCGAAAAGTAGAGCACGGGTTTACTTTGAGCAACAAATTTTGGCTTTGTTGCTCGTTTTTCGTCAGCCCTAAACTTCCAACGAAACAATGTTGCGCGACATGTTGAAGGTTTTTGTATCTCGTATTTCGCCGCCTTAACTCATCTATTTATTCACTCATTTGTTTTTTAATACAATCATTCATTTATTCAATCATCCATCCATCCATTCACTCACTCGTTCTTTCATACCTTTCTTTTATTTAGCCATTCATTCATTTATTTGTTTTTTCGTGAGTTCATCAGTTCATGAACCATTGATTCCATCATTCCTTTTTCATTACACAGATATTCCGGTCAACGTTTTGTGACAACTCTTCTATACTTTATTCTCCTGGGATTCCTTGGCGTCAGAGACCGCTTTTGTTTGGGACACACTGTCACCGGCTGTGGGTAAACTCCTTTTACATTTACATTACATTTAAATGTTATTAAATCGGTAAAATCATCAAGATATCACACCAACCGTAAAAATAAAGCAAACATATAAAGAAAGAAAATAAGTAGATGAATAAAATACAATTATGTCGACGTTGAAAATAAAAATTAAATTACGAAAAATTTATAAGCTATGAACAACTATCATTTAAGAAGTCTGATAAACTATGTTTAAATATTTCTAAGGAAGTTGACGAAACAATAGTCTCAGGGAGGCATTTCCAGTCTGTTATAGTTCTTGAGAAGAAGGAAAATTTAACTTTCACTCGGGGGCCTGGGAATCTGGTGGACTAAAAAAGTCTTTTTATAGTCAAGTAACTATTATATAGATATTGGTGAACTATCACAGTTACTCTTGTTTCGAATACGTTAAATCTTCGCCACGCGAAGCGAACGTACCATTTAAATTCTTACCAGAAAAGGACTCAATGTCCTCATGGTAACCAACTTGGCTACTTTTCAGTTTTTAAAAATGAGCTTACAATCGTTACTTGAGTTGAATTAAACTTTTCATTTTTGTACAGGAAAACATAAACATTCCAATAGAAACTTATACCTTTATGTCTTTTCTGCAAGCCCAGTTTCCGCGCAGAAGATGTGTTTTTCAATTTGTGAGCTGTGAGCTGCGGCTATGTTCGTCAAATCTTAGACAATCTAAGACCCCGTCCAGACGAAGACGATTGTAAACGCAAACGCTAGTAAACGCAAACTTTTTTATGCGTTTAGGCCTTCCGTCCACACGAAGACGATGAAAACGCTCACCGTAAACGCATAAATTCGAAAACGCTCTCCAAA